AAAAGATACTGATTTATCACAAAAAAAAAAAAAAAAAGTCGAAAATGAAAGGAGTACAATCAAATGAGAAGTGCCACACAAATGTTGAGAACCACTCTTAATATATGTATTTTTTTTATCCGAGTCTATGATTTAATCCGGTGTTCTACATCTACATGTATTTGTTTCATGATGTAAATCTTTTGGACATTTAGACATTCATTGCTTATTTCACAATATGTTTCACATGTAATATCTCATATTGAAAAAGTAATACATGTTTCATTGGTTCTAACGATTCTCAACATTTGCATATACACCTTCATCCAACTGTATTCACATGCCTTCGTTTAACTCAACATGCCCTACGTGTATCATTTTTTCATTTAAACTTTATCAAATTCATGCATTTGAATGTAAGTGAATATAAAAACGGTGAAGGTAGATGTAGGTTCTGGTTTTTGTGACCATCAGATGTATGTGGGTTTTTTTGTGAGTCGCCAGATAAAAAAAAGTCATCAAAAGAATCAAAATTGTTCTTACAGTTCTCACGAAATTCATTTGTTTTTACATGATCTTAGGTCTTCCTCTCTCTATATACAAAGAACAAATGAGAACGGTAAAAAAAGAATTATGAGCCGTTGGATAATGCGTGTGGGGGGTTTGGTTTGGGCAAACTACACAAGTAGCAAACAAGTGAAACTATACGAATTTTTAGTCATTGTTTTGTTTTTTGTTAATTAGTTTTGGGAAAAGTATATATATATATATATATATATATATATATATATATACCAAATATGATATAATCATTAAAAAGTTATAGAAATCACTTTTGATTTTTCCTCCAGTGCACACAAAACATTGTGAAGTTGTTTCGGCCAAACTAGATGTTCTTTCAAACTCCAAGTCAAATTTTAATGCCTCATGTCTCCTGTCAAACGAGAACGTAATTAACTTATAAAAACTATATGAAAAGTCAAATCACATGTGATATACAACACGTCTAGAAGGATCACATTAATTTTTGACCCTTCTTACACGTCTAGAAGGATCAAATCACATATGATTTGACCCTTCTTTTACGTCTAGAAAGGTCAAATCACATATGATTTGATCATTTTTACACTTTTTTGTAAATTAACCACCTCCTCTTTTGATCGTTCTTCTCTCTCTCTCTCTCTCTCTCTATATATATATATATATACACATACACACACATACATGTATCTGAAATATTATTTTTATATTTTAGAAAAACATTAACGGACTGCTCAATTGTGTTTTAACAGGCTGAATAAGATATGCGATTTATCTGATATGACATACGAAGGTATTCAGTTGTGACTTAATGGCTCGACTACGAGCTTATTCAACTAGCCAGACTGATCAGTGTTGTCTACATTTAGCGCCTGTTTCTTTTTCAACGTATAGCCTTGTCAACCCTTGTGTTTTTACTATCATTCTGATGATGACTTCCATTCCATTATGTATTGTATTGTATTATTATTATTATTATTGTTGTTGTTGTTGTTGTTTTTATGAAATACTTTAGTAATATGTAATATTAAATAATAACTTCAGTTTGTTATTTGTTTTATGTTTTTAAATTGTAAATTAAATGTAAATACTTTTCTATTTAAAACTAAAAGATAGCGTAAATCTAAATGTATATAATTTAGTAAGAATTTTGGTCAATGAAACATTTAGAAAATAATATATGGAACAATTAAACAATATAAAAGATAGGTTTCGGATTCGATCCCAACTCTACATGTTAACCTCAGTTGTTGAATGAGTCAAAAAATGCTATTTATATTGGTGTTTTTTAAGGCGGGTTTTGTGTTGGAATTGCAGGTAAACAACTTTTTGCCGAAATATACAATTTTCTTAATAAAACTTAAACATATAATCAATGTTTAATCTTTGACTACAGAGTAAAATAATCATTTTTGTCATTCAAATTGCTTTTTCAACACAACAATCGAACATGGATCAATTTAACCTAATACATATAAACAACTTAATCTATAAAGAACTTGATAAAAAAACCAATCGAACAACCCCAAAATTTTAATTTGTTATTACGTTTATTTATTTATTTAAAAGGCTTAGTAGATACTAAGACATTTTGATTTTTTATTCATTAAATTTTGAATTTTTTAGTTTATCTCTAAGCATTAATTAATTTGTCTGGATAAATTAAGATAAATTACCGTTTGATTGTTGTTCCGAGTAAATAGTCTGAATAATAAAAAAAAAAAAATACCATTTTAACCAAATGTCAATGTACATAAGTGTTGAATGAAAATAAATTGTGTTATAGATATTTTAAATGATAAAAAGTAAAATAATATGAATCAAATACTATGAATTCAATGAGTTCCTAAGAGCATACTTCATAACTTCTAATATATTTTAAACAATAAAATATTATTGTTTAATTACAATTTTTTATTTATGTATGTTGGTAAACTATTTATTTCTTTAAAATAAAATTGATTAAAAATCGTGGAACAAGGACCATTTTGAAAGAAAATTCTAACTTAATCTATTAAGATTGAATGGACAAACTTAACACGTTAAGCCAATCTTACAGTATTAAATTAAAATCAAACATCTTAATCTAATTTAACCAATCGATTACATTTATTAGGTTAAAAAGAATTAAGTTAGAAAAAGCATTTGCTAATTGCTATAGTTTATTTTGATGTTGGAATGGTTCACATACAAAATAATAATTACAAATATATATATATATATATATATATATATATATATGTTAGTCCCGAAGGGAAAAACAATAAACATAAAGTAATTGTAGAAGGGGGGGTTGAATACAATTACACAGACTTTTTTCAACCTTTTAATTCTTATTGATTTATATCAAGAATTAATACACACAGAAATACAAAAGATTGTTGCGGAAGATAGGAAAGGAAAACCTAACCTAAACAATCTTACAAGGAGAAGAACTTTCAAGAACAACACAAAGAGTTCTTGAAAGCAAATGAAGAATACTAAGAATTTCTTCGCACACAGGAGAGCAATGGAGTAGAAGAGAATAGCCGATTGCTTTGAGAGTGCACTAAGTAATCTTGCAAAAGCCAGTGGTGTGCATGGGAGATGCACACTGCCTTTTTATACTACCTTCAACATTTAGTGCATGGGGACACTTATCACTTGAGGATAAGAAGGCAGGGGTTGACTTGACCAATGTTGATATCTCATTTTCATCGTACACAGTATGCATACAACACAGTTCATGCAGAGACAAACTTACACACTTCATGCAGAGACAAACTTTGCAGAGATATGGTCAGTCTGTAGGAAGATCTCCTTTGGATGGATATGTAGCTTCAAGCAACTACACACAA